AAGTGTTGGGATTTCAGGCGTATGCCACCATGCCTGGCTAGCTGTTTTTATAAGTAAATAAAATTCATCTGTAAAAGAATGTTTGGGGGCATATGAAAGTGGGGTGGAAAGGCCGAGGCGAGAAAAATGGCTGTGCCATTTAAGGGCAGAAGCAGACTGGTGAAGACAGTGTTTTCTGCTTTGTATATGTGTATGCCACAGCTCTCTTCTGGCTTCAGAGGAGCTCTGACATTTATCATCTAGTGTTGTTCTGTTCTAATAACTTTACTTCAATTTAGTCATGGCTGAAGGTGAAGTTGTCTGACAGCAGCATGAGCCATAAAGTGTGTTGCTGACTCATTACTAAAAAACTAACCAGATCCTTGTGCTTTCAGGATATCTTACTCAGAATTCAGAGAAAAAGGTTTTAGCAAATCACAGTTCTTTCACATTTTTTTCCTTCCTCCTTTCCTCCCTCTCTCTCTTCTTTCTTACCTCCTCCCCTCCCCCTCATCCCTCTCTCTCCCTTCCCCTCCCTCCCGCATATAGTTCAGGATGGCCTCAAATTAGCAGCAGTCCTCCTGCCTCAACCTCCTGAGTGCTGGATTACAGGCATGCACCCCACACCCAGCTTCTTACTTTCTTCTTATTTACCAGACTATTTATGATCTGAGCCAATACTGATTTTTTGGGGGGGGGGTGGAAGTGGGTATTGAACTCAGGACCTTGCACTAGCCAGGCAGGTGCTGGCGCCACTGAGCTAAACCCCTGGCCCAGTACTGACTTAAAGTGTTGGAATTATGAAGTGACATTCCATATGGTTATAAATTCTCTGTGTCTTCTGGAAGTTTCCTAGCACCTACTTGGGAACTAAATATATAGTTGTTTACTAAGGTTTGAATACAGCATCTCTTGGAATGTAAAAGTGCCTCATGCTTTTTCTCTTTCACTTTCCAAACTCTCTAGCTGATTTATTTTCAGATTAAAACAAAATCCTAAACCTCCTTCCACAAACCATAGGCCAAAGCAGCACTTTGGAGATGGAAATTATTTTGATTAATGCTGACAAACAATATGGAAAGTCATTACAAACAGCGTAACTTTCTTTTTCTATAGAAAAGACTACATGCACACAAAATGTTAGACCTCGAAGTGATGTTTGCAATTAAAGTCACTGTCACTTTAAAGACTGCTCATGTGATTATTTATATATTTGTTATTTTATACTAAATATAAGTCACCGGGCACAATTTTTCCAATAATGATGGTAAAGTGCAGGATTCCAGGGGGATGTTATGGAGATATGAGTCAACCCCCTGCATGAGAGTTTGTCGGCACTGTGGCGATGTAAGTTCTTAGTTTATTATCCACTAAGCCGATTACCTAGTACAGATTCAATTTGACCTCAAAATCTGCCAAGCAACAGAAGGCTGTCCCTGAAACCTACTGTGTTTGAGAAGGAGCAGGGATAATTTCCTCAGGGAATGTACTTGAAATGTTACTCTTAAACTAGCCAGGCTCCATAGCTCTCATGAAAATATTTTTGTTGTTTTATTTGTCCTTTCCTGATTACCCAGATTACTGTCTCATACATCCAACAAAAAGCCTACCCAGATTTTTTTTTTTTTTGTATCGTGAATCGACCTCAGGGACTGGCACTTGTCAGGCAGATGCTGCAGCGCTGAGCTACCTTCCCGGCCCTACCCTGGGCTTTCATTTCTTCGATACGGGGGTGGAGGGTGGGAATGGGGGGGACAGGGATGGGACGGAATGACTACCACCGAACTCAGGACCTCGTGCTTTCCAGGCAGGTGCTGTGCCACAGAGCTACATCCCCAGCCCTATTTGGTTTTTTGTTTTGTTTTGTTTTACTTTCAGAGATAAACGTGTGTGATTTACTTCAAAATAATATGGATGGTGGAAAGCAGATGGCAATAAATCTGAAACACGACTGGGCATGAGTTGATTGTTGAAGCTAACCGTGCTTTTAATAGAGCAGTGAACCTCACTGTTTACAGGCAGGAAGGTTCCTGAGCAATACATACAGAAGAGGACTTGCACATTATTCTGGACACTATCAAATTGTTCTCCAAAATATTTGCACAAATCTACATTCCCAACAGTCATGCAGTGCACCAAGCCTTGAGATCGGATACTTTTATTGATCTAATTTGTAAGAAGTGGCCTATCTCATTATTTTCCTCTGCATTATCTGAATCATGAGTGAGTTTGAGCATCTTTTCACATTCTGGTTCTCTAGGATTTTTCCCCCCTTTGAATCATCTGATCCTATTCTTTCAGATGACAGATGAAATCACAGTGAGTTTTCCTTCCTCTTTCCTCCAAGCATTGAGAGCCAATTATGAGAGCCAATTGTTAAACACTCAAGAATTTTCTCAACTGGTGATCAAATATTGTTAGTTCAAAAATTGGCCTTGGTTCGACTATTTATATACCATGGCAATCAGCAAAATGCTACATATATGCACTCCCATCCCCAGATCACTGGATGTTGTACATTTTCCAGAACATCACTGCCTCCAAGCATTAAGAACCAGGCATAGACTGACTCAAGAGTATCAAGCAAGGCTGATGCTTGGGAGCAGAAGGGCCTCTCAACTCCCTGACAGGACTGGGGAACCTGTGTTGGCGGTGCTTAGCATTAGCTGGTGGAGCATCAATGGGAGTGGGAGAACGGCAGCTCAAGGACACACAGAGGCCCCACCTGCCTCTGCAGAAAGGCTAGGTAGGATTTGACACAGGTTCCAACCTGGCATCTGTTCCTCGTCCCTTTCAGTTTCTTAGCTAGATAAGACGAGCCATGCAAATTGCAAGGCTCGGTGCAACATGGAAATGTGAGCTCCTTGTTCAAAAGTAGGAAAACACCTTTTCATTTTTTTTACTGCTGATCTCTCCCTCCAGCAGCTATGCTGGTTTATTTGCTATTTAATATATTCTCTTGGGCATGGGAGTAAAACAAAACATTCTGACATTTGTGGAGTAAAGCAAAACTTCATAGTTGCGTGGGGTCTCACTTGGTGGCTTGGTACACTGGACGTGCATGATCCACCTGGGTCCTCCCCATGCCTACTTTACTACTAGGAGAAGGTAGAACTGGTTGCAGGTCAGTGACTGGGCAACAGCAGATGCAGACCTATCCTAGGGAGGTGGGGAGGCAGTGGGAACCAGACCCCTGGTGATCCCAGTTCTGATTCCCTGGAGTGTACGCCATCAACCCATGAGATTCATTCACAAAGCACACATTCAAAAATAAAATTATTACAGAGTTTGAGATGTCAATCATATAGTGTCAAAGACTACGCTGGGGGCTCCTGAGTGTGCAGCCCTCTGCACTTGAGTGTCCCTCCACTCTCAGCTGTGTCATCCTAGTCTTCGCCAGCACAGCCATCACAGCAGAGTGCAGTAAAGTTGAACCAGCAGATGTGTTTTGTTGTTATTGTTGTTTTGAGACAGGGTCTCCCCATATAATATAAATAAAATAAATTAATTTAAATGGGCTTCTTAAGTTCCCAAGAGTTACATATTATTTTTCAGAATTAATAGTCTCCATAAACTTAAAAAAGAAAATAAAGTCAGCGATTGTGGCAAAACTGTCAGAAACTCTTCTCAACATCCACTCGGCTTTCCTTTCCTAGCAACAGAATATCAGTTTCTGGCAAAAATGTTGTTTAGCTAAATGCCTTGGCTGTCTTTCTATTTTGTTACAGCAAGAGGTGGCCATGTGATGAAGCTTCAACCATAATATATTTATATGATATATACAACCAGAAGTGTTGTGAAGGGTTTCATGGAAGCTTTCCCTATTAGGGAGGAAATAGGTCCTTCAGGTCACTCAGGCATGCCCTTGCGGGGGACTCCTTCCCTTTCTGTTTTTGATCCCAGCTATGAGATAACAGGTTTTTGCTTTTTTTCTGCTGCTCTCTCCTGCTCTGACATGCTGCCTCATCATAGGCCGGAAAGCAACAAGGCCAAATGTTCATAGATTGGAACCTCCCAGACTGAGCCAAAATAAACCTTTTTTCTCCCTAAGTTGTGTGTCTCAGGTATATTTTTTATAGGGACAGCTGATACTGAAAATACTTCCTGATTTCAAGGAACTGCTGTATATGCTACAAGGACTGTTAAATATATCTGCCATTTGGGCATGGTGGTGAACAACTGTGATCCCAGCACTTGGGAGACTGAGGCAGGAGGATTGCTGAGAGTTCCTGCCTGGGCTACAAAGGGAGTTGAAGGCCAGTATGAACTACATAGAAAGACCCTGTCTGAAAAAAAAAAACAGTATAACTAAAAAATTCTGACAACCCCGGGGAAAAACTAATATATGTTCTGTTGCTTTTCTTACTTTTGTGTATGTTACTTCAATAGTCTACCATTTTACCTGCTCTTGAATTGCAGTCAAATGATTCAAATATTTCACTATACTTGCCTTGATCTCTGTGCTTTATAACTTTTAAAACTATACTGTATTTGATGCTGGGGATTTAGCTCAGTGCTTCCAGCACCTGCCTTGCAAGCACAAGGACCAGAGTTTCATCTCCTGTACCAAAAATAAGTAAACCAACCAACAAATAAATAAAATTAAATAAAATTTAAAAAGGGCCAGGGATTTAGCTCAGTGGTGCCATGCCTGCCTTGCAAGTACAAGGTCCTGAGTTTGATCTTCGGTACCACCAACAACAATGAAGAGTGAAGAGTGTGTGTGTTTCTTAGTTCTTGTATGCTTTCATCTTTTATGCCTGCATCTTGAATATTTTTTGCCTAATGGCGACAGACATTATCTTCCTGCAGAGCAACACAGTCATGTTCCAGTTACAACCACTGTGGACTACTAGCACGTCAGTTACCTTTTGAATATGGTGACCTAGTGTTAAACAGGTAATATTTTATTGGTGGGAGGAAGCCATTTTCCTTTTTGAGGTTTCAGACATATTATATTAAATACAAAGCTATATATCACTCTTAAATATCTATGCTTTATAAAAATTTGTTTATTCTGAGTTAGGGTTGGCTTCCTAAAGCAGTACTTTCTTGCTTGGTAATACAAGAAAGAGTCCTTGTTTCTCATCCTGATTTCAGTTATGGAAATCCTTTGTACAGTTGCAAAATTGTACCTAAAGGCAAAATACTGTGTCATAAAAGGAAATCCTGGTAACTGTGGAATTTGGTTTAATTTAATTACTATATGAGGACTGACATTAAATAGAGTCTAGGAACCAACAAATCTTACCTTTTATGATAAATTATTTCCTTTCAAAGAGATGCTGCAGGATAGATAACTTATTGGTTTATGGACTAAACTTTTCTACTATAACTTTAGGGAGTTCTTAATGGTTCTCCATTATGTCACTGGAATGTTTCTTTGCTACCTTTGACATCCACCTTTTCTGAGTTTCATTCAAAGACTGGATTAGCATAGTTCTTTTTATGACAGAAAGAAACACAGGAAAATTCTGATGTTCTTGAAATACTTTGTCTTTGAGTTGACTAGCCTTTGTTTAGGTGAAGGGATTAAAAAATGACAGAGGCTGTGTCCTCAAAGTAAAGCTCTGTCTGTCTGTTCTTCTGCATTTGCTTTGCTGTAGTTTCTGCTTCTGGAGAGCCTCCATGTGTCCCTTCAGATCCAGTCCTGCCTGCTCTGTGCTCTTTGGGGCCAAATCACCTGCAAGGTCTGCCCTGGCAGCTCTCGAGCAGTCTGGTGTGGCCAATGGGATGTTGTAGCAGACTCATTCCTCGCTGGGCTTCTGGTTGGTAGTGGCCTGCTTCTCTAGGAAGGTTGCTGCTCCTGCCGGGTGGCCCTCCCCTATAGCAACTCCTCTCTCTACAGGATTTGGTAATAGCTTCCTATTATTGCAAGCTTCAGCTGTTTCACCATCCATGTTATATTTCTTCAACCTTGCTTAGCACACCTTAATCTCCATTTTCCCATTGCAATATGTGCTCTACTTCTGTCTGGGTCACTGATTGATATGAAAGTCTTCTAACAACAACGCCTAAGAATGGGGAAGAATGGATATTTTGCCCATGACTTGTTCTTATAAACTATTTTTTATCATGAATAGGATTTAAACCAATGCCCTAGGCCAGTGATGGTGAACCTTTTAGAGACGGAGTGCCCAAACTGCAACCCCAAATCCACTTATCACAAAGTGCCAACACTGCAATGAAATACGAATACTGAGGTTTTAGTTTAGAAAAAACAACTCATGCATTAACATCTTTCTTCTTAAAAGAAAAGCACAGTAACACCCATACCAGAGGTTTGCCATCACTGCCCTAGGCATTTTAAGGAAATTTATATTTCCCTACTATTTGTTTTTTTACTACTAGGATTGTTAAATGTTTACATTTTCATAAGAATATGAGAGGAAGGGTGTGGTTCCTCAAGTATTTGTACAATTCAGCCAGTTCTCAAGGAAGGGTACTGACACCCAGCATCCTGGTGGCCCAGGGTTGCATGAGTAAGTGCTAAGCGGGCCCTGGTTTTGTCTGTCTTCTTTCTCAAGTTGCCTACCCTGCTATGAGCATGAGTTTCAATTATTTCCCTTATTTGTTTTCTTACCCCATTTCCACCCTGTATCTCATGTGCCTAATATTTCCAGAAAACTCGTGGCCGGCTCTTCAAGGAAAATCCTCCAAAGGTGATATTAATCATCTGTCCTAAAGCTTGGGTAAAAAAGTTACACTGGATGATAAGATTATATTTTCAAGTTCATTGCAGATTGACTTAAAGTTGGATACTTATGCTATTTCTAATTTTCCTACCACTGGGATTATTCTTACTTCAAAAGTGTAGTAAGACCTATAGATGGTGATCCAATAATTTTTTTTGGCATGGATTGCTTGTTGAAAAGGTCAATCTTGAAAGGAAGACTTTGGTCCGACATGGTGGTGCACACCTATAATCCCAGCACATGGGAGACTGAGGCTGAAGGCCAGTTTGAGGCCAGCCATGAAAACATAGTGAGACTGTCTCAAAAAACAAAAATGAAGACATTGATACTTTAAAAATTATTTTAGCTTATTAGTACATGTGTGTAGTACATAATATTTGCATTCCTTGTGGGAAGTTGGTACATGTACATAACACATCTTCATTCCTTTTTTGTTCTTTTGCTTCTGTCTCTCCCTCCTTCACTCATTCCTTGATCCTTTTTTTTAACCTGTTTGCAGTACATGTTTACAATTCTTCTGTGTAGTTGGTACTTGTACATAACCCATCTCAATTCCTTATCATCCTTTATCCCTTCCCCTGTCCCCCTCCCTCCATCTCTCATTCCCCTTTCCCTTTAAGGATGAGCCCTTCTCCACTGTTGGTGGGAGTGCAGACTGGTGCAACCACTTTGGAAATCAATATGGAGATCCTTCAAAGAGCTGGGACTAGAGGTTCCATTTGACCCAGCCATCCCCCTGCTGGATATCTTTCCAAAAGAATTAAAAGAATCATATCAGTGATATATGTGTGCACATATGTTTATAGTGGCACAGTTTGTAATAGCTAAAACTTGGAAACAGCCCATTTGCCCATCAGTTGGAAACTGGATAAAGATGATGTGGTTTTTCTATAAAATGGAATACTACTCAGCCATAAAGAATGAGGAATTAGATTCATTCATAGGAAAATGGATACATATTGAGGATTTACTCAAGTGAAATAAATGTCACACGTGTATAAATACCGAATAGTTTCTCTGGTGTGAAAAACTATAATAGTACATAAGATCCTAATGAGATGATTGACAATGTGAAATAGGAAGAAAAGGGCTAAAGGTGTACGGAAAGTGGGAAGGTTAGGGGAAAGGTAATAAGGGAAAAGAAAAAAATATGAGAAAATGAAAAAATGGAAATAAATGTTTGTAAATGGGGAGGGAAGGAGGGGGTGGAGGGCAGGGACAAGGGGAAAAATGTGAAAAAAGACCTGTCATGTAAAGGTACAAGATCCCAATGATGAATGTAACTGTACTGTATACCTAAAATGTACCAATAAACTCAATTAAAAAAAAGAATGATCTCTCTCCCTACTTATCTTTTATTTTGCTTTTAATTTTTATTCTGGGTTTCTCATATAAGAGAAATTATTTCACTTAACACTATAGTCTCAAGGTGCCTCTATTTTCCTACAAATGACTTCAATTTGTCTCTTTTTGGTAGAGTACTCTATTGTGTATAAATACATCATTTTCTTTGTCCATCCATCCCCCCTCCTTCCTGGGATCAAACTTAGCGCTTGTGAGGCAGACGCAGCATCACTGAGCTACATCCCGGCCCAGACCATTCATCTCTTAATGGACACATAGGCTGCTTCCAAGATTTAGCTATTATAAACTGTGCTGCTATTAACATGGATATGCATGTCTTACTGTAATATGATGGCTTTAACTCTGTTTGGAAGATACCTAGAAGGTGAGTAGCTGGGTCAAATGGAATTTCCAGTTTTAGTTTTTTCAGGCCTCTCCACACTGTCTTGCATAGTGATTACAGTTTACATTTGATATTTAGTTTTAATCCACAGGTCTTTTATAAAAACATGTATTAGCTAAGTGTTGGGGTTTTGAAAAGCTTGGGGGTTGAGTCATGGTGTTAGGAAGCATAAGATTTATGCTTTAACTCCTAAAAGGCAAAGGCTGCAAATTCTCTGACCCTTGGCTTTCCCTCTAATCATCTGCAAATAATATTCACCTGACAATACTGTTAGGGATAAAATGACATAATTAGTGAAGTGTCTTTAAAACTTAAATATCCCAAAGAAAAAACTTATTACCTAAAAATACAAAATCTAGTATGAACTAGTGGTTTTAAACTGTTCTTGGATCATGAACTTTTTTTCTTTTGGTACTGGGGATCAAACTCAGGACGTTGCACTTGTGAGGCAGGCAGCAGAACCACTGAGCTAAATCCGTGGCCCCTATGATTTTTTTTTAAAATGAATGTTTTCTGAAAATTGATGGAAACTATAGACCCGCTTTCTAGAAAAGTAGAAGCTTTTCAGGGGATTTTCTTGTACAATTTCAAGGGTTGCGCAAATCTTCTGAAGCCTACTATATCCTGGGAAAATTTCAAAAAATATTTTTCTTGTTTTCTTTTTAAATATTCCTGGTTGCAAAATTTAATGTAAATGTTAGTTATAACCTTCATCTGAATTCACTATGAGATTTAATATCTAAAGCTGGGAATGGTGGTACATACTTATAATCTCAGTACCTTGGGAGGCTGAGGCAGGAGGTTCTCAAGTTCAAACACAGCCTGAGTAATTTAGTGAATTAGTGAGACCTTGACTCAAAATAAAGGAATGAGGATGAGGATGTAACTTAGTGTGTAGGGCCTAGGTTCAGTCCCCAATAACATACACACACACACACACACACACACACACACACACACACACACACACACACATGCTTGCACAAGACACACAAATTATAAACTGAAACAAAAAGACCAAAAGGAAATATAAAACTGTTCTAAGTACTTAAAATTTTAATACATTGTTAGGTTACTGAACTAAAATAACAAGGTTGAAAATATCCTGATGTATAAAATTAAGTCATTTATTCATTCAAGAAATTAAAAAAAAACCTATATGCACCAAGTACCATTCATTCTAAGTGCTTGGGGAACAACACTAATAAAACAGTCAAAATATCTAAAATACAGAGGGGGTATTTTCCGTTTGTTGCTATTATTATTATTTGGTACTGGGGATCAAACTTGGGACCTTGTGCTTGTAAGGTAAGCAGAAGAACCACTGAGCTAAATCCCTGGCCCTTTTTGCAATTACTAAAGTTCCAAGTAATATATGAAGACTAGCAGCCAATGAATTCATTAATTATATAATTCACCTTTACTCTTTATATGAACTGAAAGTTTTGTACTAGTCATAAAAATACATTTTTGTCTGATCAGCCCCTTTTTAAAATTTAGATTGTGTGTATATAATAGATACATGTTTTTTTTTATGTGTTGAACTCAGGACCTTGTGCTTTCGAGCAAGGTGAGGTAGCACTGAGTTAAATACCTGGCCCTAGTATACAATGCATTGGCCATTTTGAAAGTGACAAAACACTGATTTTCATGGTAACATAATAGCTGTGAAGCTGCCACACAGGTTATTCTC